ACTAACATACGACCTCTTGGCACAATCAAGGTACGGCCCAGCGCCGGGGGACTAACAGACGAACCCCCAGACGGATCACTTGGACCTCCTTTCGGCCGAGGCGGGGAATCAACCCCTCGATCGAAGCCTGGATCTAAGGCTGATCTTGGATATCCCCTCAGCAGACGGACACAACCGCCGCTCAACAATCAAAGCCGAAGGGTGCACTCCTTTTGCTTCATTCTGAGGGCATCCGGTGTACACTTTTTCCCTCATTAGGATTTTTTCCCACAGGGTTTTTTCCTAATGAGGATTTTAACGAGGCATCTCCCCATTGTGGAACAAAAGGCGTCACCCCTCAGCGCCTCCTGCAGAAGGCATGCATCACTCTACTCCTGTTTCCCTCGAGAAACTCTCGGCAAAAGGAGTGGAGGACTGGGGGACTCCCCTCGGCAAAACACGCAAATGTTAAAAATTTTCTATTTCTCAGCTACAGCAAGCTCAGGCAAGATCACAACGGCAATCTACTCCCCTCGACATGATGCTTTCGGCTTACAGAATGCCTCCGGCCACACAATGCCTTCGGCCACATGATGCCTCCGGCCACATGATGCCTTCAGCCACACAAAGCCTTCATTCAACAAATGCCCTCGGCAAAGCACACAAATGCAGATCTCTCATTACTTTACAAACTACAACAAAGAAACACATACAAGCAACACACTTACACTCCCTTCAGGAAGCTCTCAGCCCTCGACATATGGGGGAATTGAGAAAGTGAGGCACCCAACAGAACAGGGAAGCCTTCGGGGAAATCACCACAACTACTCCTTTTCTCTCAAGTACCTTTCGGCAAAAGGAGTGGGGGACTCCTGATGGAGTATATGGCCCAGGGACCCCCAACCCATATACTTCCTATACTGCAATCAGGCCCAACAGGCCCAAACGGGCCAAGCCCAGCAAAATGGAGCTCTGAGCAGCCCACAATACGCAAAGGGGTGCCTTCAGCCCTATGGCCGAAGGCTACCAGTGACGGAATCGAGCTCAGAAACATCACAGGAGAACAAGGCTTGAAAACCAAGCCTTCAGCACCTGCAACCCTCGGCAGGTAGGAGCCCTCGGTTAGAAGAGCCTTCGGCCCAGCACCCTTCAACCGAAGGCATCCACCTCGACAGAATATCCTCTTCACATGTGCATGGATCACCGTACCAAGTACAAACGTCACATCCAACCACCGCATTTAATGCGGCCACATGCGAGTGACAGTGCCACCCCGGTCGAGGTGACCCCTCGACCACCAGAAAACTGACACGTGTCCTTATCTAGCATTTATTACTACTATAAATAGCACTCCTTTCCCCCATTGTAAACCACGCTTAATACATATCGAATATACACTCTCTCTTACTTATTTGCTCTGACTTCTCTCTAGTTATTCTCTGCAATAAGCCCTCGGATAAGCTACCCCGGGTACACTATCCATCAATCTCTTCTTCCAAATGCACACTTTTTTAGGAGTGGTTACTAATCTCCTACAGGTTAGTGAAAATAAGGTTAAGAAAGATGAAAATAGTCAAAACCAGTCATCCCGTGTAGAGATAAAAGGGGGTCAAACCAAAAAGGGATTGACTGTAATGTGATTGTGTTTATAACTTACCTATCCTAAGCGGGAACAGTCTTATATGTAAAATAAGTTGAGTCTAAACAAGTTATTGAATTTAAAAATGTATCTTTCATGTGCTTAAATCCAACAATGTAAACGCTATACACACCGCACATAGACATCCAGTGATCCGGTGTTATCAATGGCCAATAACGGATTACGGCATATAGCTTTAAAGCGCTTAATGAATATAGCGGATTAACAGATCTTTTTTAAGAAAAAAACATAGGCATAGGGGATGAGGTCATCGACATATTTCACTTTTTCTCAATCTATATCTTTTTTCAAATGTAGGTTTGGTAACAAGAATGAAAGTTCACGCAATGGTTAGCTGGGGGATAACCAATAACGCCTTTTTATAAGATATGATCTTTCTTAAACAGTGGCATCGAGGAGAAGCTGTGAAGAACTGATTTTTCAAGGCCGAGTTACTGTGAATGGTTCAGCTTGCAAGACTCCACAGGCAAGGTTCATTTGTAGTAGCTAGTAATAGTGAAAGTTGCAATTTTATTCTCTAAGTTATGTTTGAAATGTGGACTGTAGCTCAATCTTTCAAAAGTAGGACTTCTGTTTTAGGAAGCCAACAAGTGTAGGAAAAGGTTGACTGGCCTCCAACAGTCTAAAGTTAGATATTATAGATTATATTTCTGGATATATATATTTGATGTGATTTATGTGTTCTATTCTTTGTCTTGATAGAATAGAAAGCATCCCGGAGAACCCAAACCATGACTATTTACTGTGGAACGCCTTGATGTAGCAACATCCGGTTTGATTATTGTGACAAATGACGGTAATGTAATATAAATATGGCATATGAAGCTATATGTAAATTCTTTTGTTCTTAACAGAACTCATTCAAATCCATTGTCATGGTGTCTATCTTACTGATACTCTTCCAGGGGAGTTCCCTCAGAAAATTTCACATCCTTCATCAAATATGTCAAAGGAGTAAGGTTTTATCTTGGATGTTTACTTTTGATAAATACGCCTAATTCTCAGTACCTTGGGCAGCCCTTTCATATTTTTCTGCTTTTATTAGCACTAAAAATTTAAAAAATAAATGTAGTAATAAAAGGAGGAAATTCTAACTGTAGTCTCTTCACGTTGCATTTTTATGCTTTTGGTCTCTTCGACTATTGGAAATGTAATCTTTTAGTCTTTCTTAGTTCCAAACTTCCAAAGGCTTTAATGTTTTGTAAGATTTGGTCTCTTATTAGGGAAAAAAGTGGCAGCCTTATGAAATTGGTCCGGAATCGAACTAACTGGAACCTCATTAAACATGATGCCCATATATACATTTGAACAAAGTTATTAAGAGTATATCTTAAATAAATATGTTTCTTGAAGTTCTCTTAAAAAAAATTATTGGGGGATCAAGAGGATATGTCAACAGATAATATGGATTTCATTTTCGCAGACCTTTAGATTTAGTTGAAGCCTACAAAATACCTTTGATGTTTAGAGTTATTGAGAAATTAACAATCTTACCATGTTTTTTACAACTGTTGCAAATACATTGCAACAACTGAAGGTGATGTGAATCAGCTACACTTGAATGCCATCTGTGAATGACACTTGAATGTCGTCTGTAAACGACACTCGAATGCCGTCTGTGAACGAACAACCATTGAAGGTAACGTGTGACTAACTTTTACTTTATACTTATACTTTATTAAAGCGATGCAAGCACATCAGATGACAAAAAATAAAAGGAATTCTAAAGCAAAATGGATTCAACTTATGGTAATAATAACCATTTATATTTATTTGTATGTGTTATAAAAATTTATATCCTATGTGTTTATTGTGATGTGAAATATTATAACCACTTAATTTGCTAGTATTGTCTTTCTGGAAAGGTGAATTTTGGTTGTATAATCACTGACTTGTGTGTAATAAAATTTTACTCTTGTTTTTTTGTAGTCCCGAATGCAAAAAGGTGGTTATGAGTGTGACTACTATTTTATGAGACATATGGCTACGATTGTTTCTGGTGGTATTATTGATTTTTGGATGAAGGTGAAGTTTTAGCTTATTTGTTCTCATATACTTGTGATTTTATTGCTACTGTACGTGTTATTTCTTTTACTTCATGATTTTTGTATTTATTCATTTCGTTTCATTATTTAATTTTTAGGCATTCGACGTTCAAGAGTCATTCACTGATCAAGAAATCAACGAGACACGAGAGCGTTGGACGTCATTTTTCTGCGAAGCTACGAATATTTGATAAAATTTTTAGACTCTTAGCTAGTTTTTGATGAGTCTTGTGAACTCATAGTTTTAGTGAACTCAAAGTTAGTTTTTGATGAATGTTGTGAAATCATAACTTGTTTTTGCTGAATATTTTTGGATTAAAACAATGTGAATGTGGAATGTTATTAGTTATGAGCAATGATATGTGTTTACTTGCGATAAATGTTCCTATGATGATGTGTAAATTTCTGATATTTAGAAATAGCTGGGTATGAATTAAATGTTAGGGAGGCATTTCATATGGGTTGATTAATCCTATATTGAAAATCTTTAATAACGGTTAATGTATAACGCTATTGAATGTTTCAATAACGGTTCGATAATAACCCTTATTAAATGTCCCAGACTTTTAACATGTGCGCCTATACCCGTTATTAAAAGCCCAAATGAACCGTTATTAAAAAACTTTCCATAACGGTTCCCGAACCCATATTAAAAGTATCGGACTTTTAATAGGTGCTGCAACAATAACGGTTCTGAACCGTTATTAAAAGTCCATTATAACCGTTATTAAATCCATATTTTCCACTAGTGAAATTATGTTAACGAGTTATCAATAGAGGATTCAGTCACCGGGATTGAGTAGGGGAATAAGTTGGCGGGTTGTTATAAGATGTTTGATAATTTAGCTGTTTGGTAATTTCAAAACGCTAACGAAAAATTCTCCTATTTGCAACGTTGTCATTCCAATGTTTGTGTCCAAAATGTTGTGCCTAACATATACTACTTCGTCCCACTAAGATTGAGATAAGAGAATGTGACACAATTATTAAGAAAAGTGGAATTGCGTGGTTCATATTAAAGTAAAAATAAAGTAAAAATAAAGTAAAAATGATTTAGAACCACACCAACTTTACCAAATTTGGTACGAGACAATCTTGTCGGGATTTCCCGAAAAGATAAAATGAGACAATTTTAGCGGGACGAAGTGAGTATTTATTTAACAATTTTTTTCTTCACTTATTGAAAACGTTAAAAGTGATCAAACCTGTTTTCAACAAACGCCATTTATCAAGCATATCCCGGAATTTAGAGAGAACATTTTCTTATAATAATACTACGAATTAAATTGTTCATTTGATACTTTCTCACTTTCTATGTGTCCCCAATAATGCAATAACCAAAGATTGGGATCTGCTTAAGGTTATCTATATAATTACATACAGGAACCTAATAAGAGGCTACAAAGACTATTAATCCGGTGCGGCGGAGAAATTGCTGAGAGATATTCTGGTCGTGGATGTTTCTTGAATTGGCGTGACCAAAGTTTGCTCCTCTGGGTGGCCATGCGTCCTACAATCGGATTTTTGGCTTACCTTCTCGTCGCCTCCTCCGCGGCGGTTCTATCCGCTTTCTACCTCCATAACCACCACGCCTCTGGCGGCGGTTACGAATCACCCACGGCGCCTCTTTCCTCCTACATTAAACTTGCCTCGGAATCCCCTCTTCGATCCGAAGCCACAGTTTGGCCGGTACGTCACATAAGGGCGCGTTTGGGAGAACGTCTTAAATCACAATCCTCGGGCTTCAATAATTTCGACGTCCTACGGATTACGGAATGCACTCCCAACCGCCGCTGTTCTGTTTTTTAATAATAAAAAAGGGAAGATGAAAAAAGGCCGGGTATTTAACCGGCCTTTTAGCTTCTTAATCTGTTTGGCTTAATCAGGTTTTGGAATTTGATATCGTAGGAGTTAAGGTTTTGCTGGAGGACGGTGTTGGCCACCGTGATAGGGTTCTTGGGGTCGGCGTGCGGCACCGTGGGCGGCGTTGGAGGCGGCGGCATCTTTGTCCCAATGCTCACTTTGATTGTTGGATTCGATACGAAGTCCGCAGCCGCACTTTCCAAATGTACAAAGTTGTTAAAAGAATGTTATTATTGTTAATGAATCTCCATTTCAACATTCAAAAAAGAATGGTGTAGTTTGGTATTTGGCATTTTCAACTTCTAACCCGCTGCTAAGTGCAACGTTTTAGTTGTAAAACGTTGCTAAGTGCAACGTTTTAGTTGTAAAATGTTGACGTTATCAATATTCTGACACGACACGCTCTTCTAAATGCAAGAAAAGTTTACTTAAAAGATCGATGATACTTTGAGATACTTAGTTGTTTTAAGTGCGAGAAAACTCGATGATGATTGCAGGTATGATAATGGGAGCATCTGCATCATCGGTATGGTACAACCTGCGAGTGCCACATCCGTGCAGGGCAGTGCCAATAATAGACTATGATTTGGCTTTTCTGTTCCAACCAATGCTAATGTTGGGCATCACTATTGGTGTCGCTCTAAGTGTCGTCTTCCCCTATTGGCTCATTACCGTCCTCACCATCATTCTCTTCATAGGTACTACATATTCATTGCATGTACCCTTACTATGTTGCTGCCCTTGATTTTTTTTCTTGTTCCACACATTCATTTAATTTGTTTATTGTTTTTGTGTGTGATTCCTTTTCACTACTCTATTTGTTTTCATTAGGGCATCCCCGTCCATAGATTATTTTTGAGATCATTTTGATGATGTGGAGGAACTTTTTTTAGATAATGGATGAGGAGTTGAGATGATTTTATGAGATTGTTTGATAAAATAATCTGATATCAAATTCTAAAGCTGGATTATTTTGAGATTATTCACAACTTTTAGGCTCCTCTTCCCATTTTCTAGGCAACTAATAATAACTAGCTTTGTAAAAAAATCTAGGTAAGTTAAGATCATGGATGGAGAGAAATTGATAGGTTTGGAGATTATTTGAGATTATCTTAGATGGAAGTGACATGACAATAAGAATATATAAAAAACCATAAACTTGATTATCATGAACGGAGATGCTCTTAGGTTTTATTTAAATGCTACCGTATTTCAATTTAATTTATCTTCATTACTCTATTTGCTTTCAGTTCCATTGAACTTTGTTAACTTTCTTTTTTCGTTTTAAAGAAGTTTTCAGTCACATTCTTTTTAAAACAATAAATTTGTGATAATGTACATTTCTTTTGCACAAACCTCGTTTTTTTCATTTTAATTCAACATCCAAAATCAATTTGACAAAATTGAATGGGACTGATTTACTATGAAAAAGTGGCCGCCACTATCGTCACTCACGCCATCAAACTTGTCACCCTGCGCATAGAATTTTTTTTAGTTGACCTTTTCCAAAGAAGTTTCAAAGTAAAAAAAAAACAAAAAAACAGTAAATTTTTTCCAGCGGCCTACGTTTGAAAAATAAGAATCAGTTAAATTTTCATCTTTGGAATGAAAAGTGTCAAGTTTTTTCTTTAAATGCTTTCTCTTTGACGGTTACAAATAAAAATAAGTTTCCTTGTAAATAGGCGCACCAACTAGCATACTATTCTACAAAGATGAAAGATCCTTACATGATTACTTTTAGGTTTAGCATTAAATTGATTTTATTTCGTTTCAAGATACCCAAATATATATGCAATCAAAATAAAGGGAATTCTATATTTGACGAAAAGCGAAACGAAACGAAACAAAATGTTTACCTTTATTGGGAAAACATAAATATAAATAAAATAAAGGGAATTTCCATAGGGGTATCTCTCAACTCCAGAATTTATGACACTGTTTTGTACAGTTTGGTGTAAATTTGTTTGCCAAATAAGGAAGTGTGTATTTGTTGGGGACATCTAAAAAAGGAAAATGAGAACTTAAATAGGGGACGAAGGGATTAATATATTGGTTGTTCTTTCAAGTTTTCCGTACTTGTACGGTAAGATGTAAATGGTTATTGCACACATATAAAAATCATATATACTCCCTCCATCTCCCTAATATTGGGACGGAAGGGAGCGATACTTTTCTTAGAAAAGTAGAATTATGTGGTTGATAATGAGTTAATAAAGTGAGAGTAAGTAGAATGAATTAGAGCCACACAAATGTTACCAAATATGGTATGAGACAATAATAGGGGGACAAAGAGTACTTGGTAATAACTAGTGCGTGACATATATAAGTGGTTGAAATGGTGATTCAAACGATAATATTGGGACAATTTGTTTAGGAAAATTATACAGATTACTAATTAATCAAATAAAAATTGCCCAATACAGGAGTAAACATAAACATAATTGCATAAATAGGAGTGTAATTTAAAACATCCTTCAATAGGAGTAAACATTAATTTTGTACCCTTAATATCCCTAACCTAGTTAATTCTAAAATCTGACTTATTTAATCCTAACCTAGTTAATTTATAACTTATTCGATAATAATAATTTATTTATTTATTTATTTATTTTTTCAAAAAAAAAATTAGTTTAAAAAAATAAAAAAAACTCAAAAAAATAAAATAAAATTCACCGCCGCCTCTGCCGCCTCTGCACCACCACCTCCAGTCACCAGGGGAAAAAATGCCAAGTTCATTACGAATGCCATATTTATGGCAGAAAATAATGAAAATGTTGGCATTCACAAAGAGAAATATGCCATGTTTTTGGCATTTTCAGAAAAAAAAAATGACAGTTTTTAGGAAAAATGGATTTTTTTTCACCGCCCGGAGGTGGTGGTGCAGGAAGGTAGTACATGCGGTGGGAAAGACATCCATATTTTTTTTAATTTTTTTATGGAGTTTTACTATTTTTTATTAATTTTTAAAAAAACTAAAAAATTTTAAAAAAAAAATTAAATTTTTTTTATTTTATTAATATTTTATAAATTTTTTAATTGTTTTTCTACGAATTTTTGATTTTTTTTCGAATTTATTATGAATTAAATATTTAATTAAAAGTTGTTGGGGCTTAGGGCTTGGGTAGGGATATACTTGTCCAAACACTAAAGTTACTCCTATTCAAAACATGATACTCCTATTTTTGCATTTTACCTATGTTTTACTCCTATTTAGGGAATTCTCTCTTAATCAAATCATAAGATTTAGGCCAAATTAATTATTCATCCTAAATAGAAGAACAAACAATGTATAGAAATGGCTAGTTTTGCACCACTTTAGAGAATAATATAGCTGATTTAACTACGGATTGGAGTACATTTTTAGAGTGCAATGTATCACCCCTTCCTTCGCTTTGTATCATGTGGCATTCAATTTCCTATTTCTCTTTAAATTGTTATAACTGTTTTATTTATTTTCCAACTTTATTAAAGTGTTGTACATAAACAATTTGAAAAAGAATTCATTTTTTTCTCAAAATATATTCATAGCTGGGTTTTTTAATTTTTTCATATGCAATATGAACAGGCACATCTTCAAGGTCAGCTTTTAAAGGGATAGAAATGTGGAAGGAAGAAACTAAGTTGAAGGTTAGTTTTTACTTGACTTTAATACGGAGTAATTTTTAGGAAAAGAATCAAAACATTCAAAAGAATTTGCTGCAAATAAAAGTAAATATAGACAAAGTGCACAAATAAGAAATCATTATAAGTAGTATTTTATTCCCAACATAGGACTTGGTTTCTAATAAAAGTATGAATGTTTTTACTTGGACCGTAATTCCTCCCAGATCAGACAAGACCAGAACAATTCAGACCATACCAGACTTGGATAGTTATAAAAATACAAAGAAACCAGAACAGTTCAGACCAGACCAGCAAATTATAGTCCAAGTAAAAACATCCTACGTGCTCCCTACATATAACTTTATTTATCCAAGTTTTTTTGGGACGTTTCAAATTAATTGTCTCATTTACATATTTGGAAAAAATCAATCCAAAAAGTAGCTATAGTACCGTTACAGTACTGCTGCAGTACAGTAGCAAAAACTTCTTTTTTTGTAGCAAAAACTTCTTACTTTTCATAAAATCTACTAGGGCTGGGTCCGAAAAATCGAAAATCGAAAACCGAATCAAATCATACCGAACCGTAGCCAAATAAAACCGAACCGCTAACAAACCGAAACCGAATGTAAAAAAACGAACCGAATCGTAGTTGTTTGGTTCGGTTTTGATTTTTACCCTTCAAAACCGAACCGAACCGAACAAACCGAACTAGTTAAAATATACGGAGTAAAATTTATTTGTCCATTGTTAAGCATTAATCCTAACTAATCCTAATATCATTAATAGTTTTTGGTTTTCTTGTGCTAGAGAAATAATGTTTGTTATGTTTAGTTTAGTTTGTGAATTCATTTACACATTCATTCCACGTAATAATGTAGCTATACTGATAATATGTTTTTACTTGTTATTAGTATTAATTATCTTTTATTTTTATTTAACTTAAAGAATTCGTATTGATGAAACAATAAATATTTATCTCAACTATATCACATATAACGTATATACTCATGAACTTTTTTTGAACTAGTCACAAACAATGTAAATTAATAATATATACTTTTATATCTCTCGCATACTCATATAATTCATGACATATTTATTTATTTTCATTTTTATTTTATTTGTTGTAGTGTGCTTGCATTCTTTATGTAATATATATTTGATCCCTCAAAGTATTATATCAATTTTAAATCAAATGATAATTTTTTGGTAAAAAACCGAAAAAACCGAAATCGAATCGAAACAAACCAAACCAATTAAACCGTGGTTCCAAGTTTTGGAGTGTAGAACCGAACCGAAACCGAATCGAACTTTTTACTTTGATTCTATATTTGGTTTTAGGTCAAAACCGAACCGCAAGAACCGAACCCACCCCTAAAATCTACATTATTTATAGTAAATAAACTACGCGAAAAAGGACAATTAATTAAAGTAACTAAAGTGATACGGAGAGAGTATAAAACTTCTTCATTTAGGAATGAACGAACGAGTCCCATTTTAAGAGAAAAGAATTATCTATTTTTATACTTTTTCTTAATTATTTTATTCCTATTTAGGGAAGAAAATAATGCTGAACAAATATATGATTGCGAATTTCTTGAAAATATTTAAAAAGATTCATGGTATGTCTACGAAGAAATCCTAAAAAATGTTCTTGCAAATGTTCAACAAGTATAGTTGTTATTGTTAATTCAAAAGAATTGCCTTGTCACTTTAATTTTTACACATCCTGCTTTTTGGGAAAATGCAGAACTCGGAAGCTGAACGTCAAACAATCGTCAATTCACACGGGGAACGTAAGTTGTATTAAAATGTAAAATTTTATTGGAAAAATTGACAAGACTAGTTTCACTTTCACTGATCTTTTCATAATAATTCTACCTAAATATAATCTTATATAAATAATCTCACATTTATAAAGATATAATAGAAAAGTGAAAGATAAGATTATTTATATGATTTTCAAAAAAAAGAGTAAAAAACATGGTCAGGGTCCAATGAAAGAAGATGGGGTGCAAAGGTGGGATTATTCTGGGATTACCTAAAGGTGAGATTATTATGAGAAGACCAGTGAAAGGTGGGATTATTTTTGTCATTTTTTCTAATTTTATTAATGTAAAATATGTTAAAATATATTTTAATTATATATTCTCATGGGCTGTTTGCATAATAGAAAAAAACAGTGATTTCTTGTGAATTTTGTTTTGTTTGAATAATAGATAAGTTAAGTCTATATTATATTGATATGATTTGCCTCAGTTGAAATTAATACCGGATATGAGCCACTGGTCCCTCAGGAAGAGAGAACAGGATTGGTAAGCCATTTTAATTTTTATGATGAAGATTTAAAGAATGAAATGTTTGTTATCAAATCTAGCTGTTTGTGTACGTTACAGATGTCGATCACATTTACTCCATAATAATTTTTCAGCAATTAATGATGTACAACATGAATGTGAAGAAAATGCTTGTTCTATTTCTTGTGTGGATTTCCTTTCTGCTCCTCCAAGTGATCAAGGTAAGTTTTTTTGTCTAGTTTTTTTTGCCCCCAAAATAAATGTCTTAATCCATGTCTACCAAGTTAAGTCTAGTTTTTTTTATGCTCTCCCAAAAAGTATTTTGAAACCCCAAAAAATATTTTCGTCCCTCAAAATGACTTCCTTGGGTCCACCCCTGGTCACACAGGACAAGTCTCGGGTTCGAATCTCGACAACTTCAATGAGAGGTTACTATGTTAAAATGCATAGGGCCTCTGTAAGTACCAGTACCAGAGCCCCACACTCTGTATCCGTCAGCTTGCGATTAAAGACCAATTTACATCTTCCCATCTAACTGTCCGATCGATGTTAAGGGACCCTCAGGGATGGAACATGATCCTTTTTATTTTTGTTATCATTATCAATTACTATGTACAATATTCAATTTTTAAACAGTGATTTGAGAACTTGTCTGATTGTACAGAACGGTGTCGTTGCGTGCAGTCAGTTGTATTGGGTATTGAACTTATTGCAGGTACGTCCATTACATATTACCTATAGTACATAATGCTTGTGTTTTGAATGAAATGATATATAAAAATAGAAATAATTACTAATGACTAATGACTAGAGTAGTAATGAAATCATAGTAATTAATGTTCAAGTTTTGAGCTTAAATTATCACAACACCACATTGTAGTAATGAATAGTCATATTTATGTAAATATGTTTTATTTTAGTAATATTCTTATAAAAAACCCATATAAATAATCATAAACCATGCATCATAATTAATACTCCTTTTTAAGTACATTTATAATAATGTGAAAGTTGCCTCACTAATTTAGACACAAAAAATGGTCAAAGTTGAGAAAGTCTTTTCACAAATTTTTTTATGAAGTCCTACGATTACTTTATGAAGGCTTTTCAATAACTATTTATTTTTATTGTGGAGAATCCCACTTTAAAAATGAATAATTATGATGTGTCCACCTGGACACCTGGTCACCAATGCCATATGACTACATAAGAAAGTCATGGAATCATAAAATTTCCCGTTTTTTCACTACTAAAGGATGTTTGGAACCGATTCTTCTTCTACTTCTACTTCTTTTATAAAACAGCAGTAGAATCAGATCAGTTTTCAAAAATTGGTCCTCCAACTTCTAAAAAAACTTCTTCTGGAAGTAAATTAGAGCAAGCACCAGAAGTACTTCTGAACTTTCACACAAACACTCCCTGAATAGGCAAAACCTGTTTTAAGAATTCAGTAACTCCGCGAGATTTGTTGTGTGTCTTTACTACTTCGACCACCATAGCTAGATCATTAGTTCATTACTAACCTTTTGGATCAAACTTTATTACTCTATATAATTAGTGACACTTAGTTAGGATGTTTTTACTGAAATTTTTTGGTCTTGTCTGGTTTGGTCTAAATTGGTCTGGTAAACGTTTGCTTTTTGTGTAATTTATAACTATCAAAGTCTGATCTGATTTGGTTTGGTGTGATTTGGTCTGGGATTGAAAACACTCTAAGAAAACATCCTTATTTAAATTGTTTTGAATCCTTTACTTTGTGGACTTCATTATTTGTGAATTTAATTATGAGACGTACTACGTATGTTTTAATGAAATATTTCGACATGCACAATATCATACTCCTTACTAGGTAGTAGGTACGAAGTATTTAGTTGTACAATTTGTGAAATGAAATATAGTCAAACAGTCAAATGGTCTTTCATAGCTTTCTTCATTTTTGTTCAATATGCTATTTTAGATTAATGGCTTGATTTTGTTATTCACTGTCTCTCTCTTTGGGGCTTAAAGTTTCCGGTTGCATTGGGATTATTTGGATGCGAATGTGTGAAACTTTATACAGAAAGCAAGAGCCGGAAACTCTCAGGGAACCAAGAAATGATATGCGAGGCTGCCATTGACTGGACAGCGATGAACCTTGCTTTGTGTGCCCTTTGCGGCGTCGTAGGCGGAACTGTCGGCGGCTTATTGGGTTCGGGCGGAGGTTTCGTTCTAGGTCCTCTACTGCTCGAGATTGGCGTAATGCCCCAGGTACAACGACGGGCCCATATACTCTTTCAATAATTATACCTGAATGTTTCAACTCGAAATAGCGTTCAAATTTCGTGTGACACTCAAAATTTCATGTGTTAGATCCACCGTGCAATGCTTACAAGTATAAAAGTAATGTAAAATGGATTCAATATGTGGAATTGTGACCGTCATGTAAATTTTTTCGTTCCGAAATTTGGATAATTTTATCGATTCAAAATTTACATATAATTATGGACGTGGAATTGTGCCTATTTCTTTCATTTACCTACAAAGGTAAAAAAAATTACTACGTATATGTATTGAATTGACCTAGATAATATTATTAATAACAACAACAATAATAATATAAGAAAAGACAAAATGAGTAAGAAATAATTACATATTTACGTCGATCAATGACTAGAGTAGTAATGAAATCATAGGAACTTATGTTCAACTTATAAACTTAATTTAACATATTATCACATTATATTGTAGTCACTATTAGTCATATTTTTGTAAATAAGTTTTATTTTGATAATAGTTTTGAAAAAATGAATAATGATAAAATACTCTGTTATAAATTAGCAATCAACTAATGATAAGAATAGTAATTTGAGTCAAGTAATTAAAAGTAAATGGTCGGTAGCAATTTTCTATAAATAAAATCTCTTTTACATAAGTATAACTGTATAAGTAATAACATCAATGCTACTTGCTTACTCAGGTCATGTAACAAAATGTACCGTGCTTAAAAGAATAATTAGTAGCTACCATATAACTCCATATAAGTGGTAATTTGAGATTAATTTCATGAAATATATAGGACGTACACTAAAATCATGCATAAATCTTCTTCCAAAGTTAATTAATAGAGGGTTTTTGAAAAGTATTACGTAGTATTAAAATAAAGTTTATGGGTAGAAATGTGATTAAGATATTGTGATTTTGTTATCATGACATATACAAATTGGACATGATTGTAATCACTAAAACTTATTATGTCATTTTTTATCTATCATAATTATTTTAGGCATATATTAATCATTAATTTCAAGTTAAATATCTTGTTTTGCTAATTTGATTTGGAAACCATTATTAATTGGCTCACGATGGGAATATGTACTTCTACGTAATCTTTTCCCGGAAAGTAAATATTTTTCTTCTTTACTAAAAAGTTTGATATGGTATAAAATTATTTGTAATTGCAAAATCATTTAATTGTGCGCATGAACTCATTAATTGACTGAAATAAAAACATTGATTGATTTGGCACTTTCATTTTGACGAATATTTTTGCACGGCTTACAATCAATTTAAAGCACATGTCGCCAACGTGAAGTTAGAACTGGCAAAATCAAATTAGGATTTCAGCAAATCCATATGTGTTTTCAATCCATATGATGTACTACGTAATTCATTGATATAATTGATGTTTGGTGACATATATTCCCTCTATTTTTAAATCAAAGCCGCATTTCCTTTTTTGGATGTTTCAAAACAAAATCACACTTCCTTATTTGGCAAATAAATGTATATCAAAATAATGCAAAATAATGTCAAAACATTGTACACTACACTAAAATTTACTTTCAGTAATTTTTTCCGTAATAAACATTACAAAATAATGCAAAATAGTGTGGAATCAAAGTGTGACTTTGATTTAGAAACACAGGTAGTATATGTTTTATTATTGGGAAAATAACTTTAAATAATACAAACTATCTTTCGTAAACCAAGAATAATATGTACTTTGAAAATAAGTTTTAATAATACCAACTATTTAAATATAGACAAAAAGTGATATATAGCATTTTTTTACCACAAATTCAACCATTTAACTCATCAAAAACTTGTATCAAAATATCTATTTAGTGAATATATTTCCAAATACCATTTATTTGATGGGTTGTCATTAGCTTTTGATGTCTTAAATGATCGGATATTTTTGTCAAAAAACGACTCTATATTATTTTTGTTTTACATTCAAATAGTTGGTATTATTAAAAGTCATTTTTGAAGTTTCTATTATTATCGGTTCATGGATGATAGGTGGTATTATTTAAAGTTATTTTTCCTTTATTATTGCTTCAATTTCTAATTTGTATGCTAGATTTTTTTTTTGAAATATCTAAACTTAAACTCTTTTAAACCTCATCTCCCTTTCCAATAAACATATTAGTTCATGTTAGATATTCCAGCTACCTATTTACTTCCTTCATCCTATTAAGATTCTCTCATCTTTCCTTTTCGATTTGTCCCACTAAAACTGTTTCATAATAAATTTGGTAAAATTGATTTGGTTTAAATCATTTTTACTTTATTTATGCTTTACCAAATCAATATCAACGATAAACTCAATTTCTCATTACGATCTCCCTATATTCCAATGTTACTAGAAGGAAGGTATGATAGTATAATATTCTAAGTTCTAACTTTATTCAATTCATTCACATGGGTGATTGATTGGGCAATGTTTTTTTGTTTTGTTTTTGTCTCGCAGGTTGCAAGCGCGACAGCAACCTTTGTGATGATGTTCTCTTCGTCCCTATCCGTTGTTGAGTTTTATCTCCTAAAAAGATTCCCTATCCCCTTTGGTACACTCTTGACCTTTCACATTGCCCAATTATTGCCAATTTGACGGAAAGAGTTTGACATCATAATAATTAAGGGGAAAAGTAAGAAACTACGAAAGATAAAAGGTAGGAAAAATGAAAACAAGTGAAAAAATGCAATAAAAATAAACAGAAAATTGAGTATGAAAATTAGGGTAAAATTTTCTAAACAGGAAAATGGGAAAAATAAATTTGAAAACGGGAAGAATTTATGACAACTCAAAATTAATGGATGGAGTAGTTTTTGTACGTTTTCTACTGTATAAATAATTTGTACACTTAAATATTCTTTTAGCCCGTTCATATGAAGTTTTTTCAAAATATTTCTGAAATACAACTTATTTACAAAAATAAGATTAAAAGTTACTCTGTACTATAGTACAATGCCATGGTCACTTATGAGTAAAAAATTAAAATTGAACATAAGTTATATATTATGACTAAAGTTATTGTTGTAGTCGCTACGTAGTGCACTTAAGATGTAACATTTTATAAATGGGAAAATAATTAAAATATCCCAAACTTTGAAGGGGTGTGAGATAAACATCAAAACTTACATATGTAATTTAAATATCTCAAACTTTACATAAAAAGTTATTTTAAAAACATGTACGTGACTGATATATTACGATCTACAATATTGTGCAGCTCTATACCTCACAAGTGTGTCGGTTTTGGCGGGATTCTGGGGCCAATTTTTGGTAAGAAAAATCGTGACAATCCTAAAGAGGGCCTCAATCATCGTTTTCATCCTGTCCGGCGTTATCTTTGCCAGTGCTCTTACAATGGGTAAATTCCGAATTTCCTTTTCAACAAATAATGCATTTTGTTTTTACAATTTTACACACAATATACGCACTAGTTAAATGTGTTTGGCAGCTATGTTGCACGGAAACATTATAAAATTTGCAAAATGAGAAACTAGAAATATCATCTTTTAATAGAAAAAAAATTATTTGAATAGTTTCCGAAGAGTCTTCATAGAGTTTTCGAAACGGAAACATACTTTTTCTCAAGAATTGACCGTGTTTCCTAAGCATGGTGAATGAAGTTAGGTGTGATAAAATTATAATCGATGGGCCAAAAACTAATTGATACCTAAAGTATACTACCTTCGTCAGCTTAAGGTTCCCACTAAAATGTCGCGTTTTTATACAAAAGTTAAATAAAACAATTTCATGAATAATTTGTGTGGGTATATACCAATTGGGTCATTGATTATTAAACTGTCATTTAAAAATGTCGGATAGAATACTTTCTGCCCAAAAAATGAGAAACACTAATTGCCAATAAATCTTATAACTGATACCAAGTTAACACCACATTGAGTACTTGCAACTTAACAGTCACTCGAAGAATGCAAGATTACGTACGGTAGTGTTTGCAACTTCTAAAAGTAGAATAAGAATCAGTTTTTGGAAAGCTGGTCTCTCTCAACTTCTAAAAGACTGATTTAATGAGTAATTTTGAGCCATCAAAAGTGCTTTTGCATTTTCACCCAAACACTCCAATATTTGCTTATGTTCCTTCAGAGAGCAGAAACAGTTTTAAGAAGAAACAGATCCAAACAACCCCTGTGTATCAATGTAGCTTAGATAGACATTACTAACTATTAGTGACTATTTATGATTTAAATTTTTCTATTGAGGAAAATTTCAGACAATTTACATATGAAAAACTTCAATCTTCACATTACTTTTAATATTTAATTATTGAAATGTCATTTAAGAATGCAAATAGAAGACTTTTCTGCAAAAAATGGGAAACATTGTAAGATTTTAGAGATTTAGGTCAAGATGGATTGAATTCCATCTTAGACATTGAGATATATGAGAGAATAAAGTAAATGTTTGCTGAAAAGTTTGGTGCAATATTCCATGCTTGTTGAGATGATCCTTGAATCTTTGACTTGTGTATTCTCCACCATTATCGGACCTAAACACTTTAATCTTAACATTGAATTGATTAATAACATAGTTATGGAAATTCACAAATGCTTCATAGACTCTATCTTTGGATGGAAGCAAAGTAACCCATGCATACTTAGACTTTTCATCTATGAATGTTACAAAATACTTGTGCCTATCTCTAGATATGCATGGTGAAGTCCAAACATCGGAATGTACTAAGTCAAAATAATTCTCGTAGATAGTAGATGACTTTGGGAATACAACTCTACAATGTTTTCCAAGAATACATGCTTCACAAGCAGAATGATCAAGGAAAGCATTAGGTAACATTAAATTTAAAGCACGAGAGTGAGGGTGGCCTAATCTAGCATGCCACAGTACACTTTTATTAGAAGAAGAAAGACAAGATTTAAAAGCTAAGGAATCCAAATGACTTGAAGATGCATGGTTGAGAACATAGAGCTCATCCTCGGTCCCTCCTTTGCCCAAGATTCTGCCATTCTCAATAGCCTGAAACTTAACATCATTAGGACTAAAGACGACGTTGCAATTGAGATCATTAGTTGCTCTTTTCACAGAAACTAAGTTAGATTTGAACTTAGGAATGTAGAAAGCATCACTCTTTTTATCAAACAACTTCAATTTCCCAGTTCCTTCTATAGGAATCCCATTTCCATTGGCTATCTTAACCTTTCCTACAACTAGTTTATTAACACAGTTAGCATTTAAATTTGATGTTAAGTAAGAGATACCAAGTTTGGAGGCATAAGCCTTGATGAGAGCTTCCAATTCACTCTTCTTTACATACTCCATTGAAGCATGTAAGGCCAATTCAGGATCTTTGTGTGAATTCTCGACCTGCTCTCCTTCTTGAGCAAAGTTGGCAGCTTTCATCTCTTTGAATTTTGCCGGTTTCAAGTGAGGATGAAGTATCCAACATTTATCCTTGAAATGGCCTTTCTTGTGACAGTGTTCACACACCATGAGCCGTCGATCCTCTTGCTTGAATACACCCTTATTTGCCGTCACTAACTCCTTCTTCCCATCAAACAATCCGATTGATCCCTCTTCCTTTTGAACTCTTGAGCATACTTCTTCAAAGCTTGGAAGCTTAGATTCTCTTAGAATAGCCTTGATAACACCATTGTAGCTTGAGTTTAAATTGAGAAGTAATCTGAATGTCTTGTCTTGCTCTCTTCTTTCATTTAGTACCTTAGGGTTTATAGAACTTGGCCTTAACGTATCAAGTTCACTCCATAAGGACTGTAACTTCCCAAGATACTTCTTAAAGTCTAATTCATCTTGATTTAGCTCACTGATAGCTTTCTTAATCTCATAGATGCGACTAAGATTGGATACATCACCATAGACTCTTTTAAGAGTGTCCCAAAGGGCCTTAGCCGTTTCAGAATAAGAGTAATAAGAGTAAGCTTCAAGTATAGATGGTTCCAAATTGTTTTGAAGAAATCCGAGCACAAGTTGATCTTCCTGAAACCATTTTGCATCATCCTTCTTAGCCTCTTCATCCCTCTTGTATTTACCTGAATCATCTACACTTCTTTCTTCTAAAATGTGATCCCAAAGCCCTTTTCCACAAATAGAAATTTTGATGGTCCTTGACCAAAGAGTGTAGTTAGATCCCTTGAGGATTATCGAAATAACAGTTGGCTTGATACTCGAACCTCCTTGAATCATGTCTTCCATGATAAAGTCTCAATCTTCAGAAGAAAAAAAAATATGAACTGACCGAGCATAAACCAGATGAAAAGCTCCGATCTTGCAGCGGAAGTATAAGGGAAAAAAGTGTTCTTCGCAGCGGAATAATGAAGAAAGAAGAGTGAAATAAAAAAAAAAACAGAATCTTTCAAGTTTTGTAACCTGTCTCTGATACCATGTAAGATTTTAGAGATTTAGGTCAAGATGGATTGAATTCCATCTTAGACATTGAGATATATGAGAGAATAAAGTAAATGTTTGCTGAAAAGTATTTCTTATTGATGAGCAAAGCATTGCCTTATAAAGGCATTACAATAGATAAGGTATGAGAAGAGCCAATGAATCTAGACTAATTTTAAATAAAATAAGGGAAGTACAATGATAAGCAAATGATTGACTGAATGGTTGTTGCCACCATCTGTTCCAAACCGTTGGAAAAGAACCCATATGTCGCCAGCTCACCTTGATATTTTATTTGTTTTAATAAACATTACTTAGCAATAATTGTGATAACTAGTACAAAATATCTAGGTGTAATTGAAAACTCATTCCTTTTAACATCACATTAAGTACGTGCAACTTAACAATCATTCGAGAATGTAGGACTATGTGGATGTAGTCTAAATAGTCTTTAGTAACTATTAGTGACTATTTATGATTTGATCTTCGCATCGATAACAGTTTAACACAAAGTACATTTTTGTAGGGGTCATCGGTGTTGAGAAAAGCACGAGTATGATACAGAATCACGAGTTCATGGGATTCTTAGATTTCTGTAGCAGCCAATGAAATCAAAGAATGGGAGGACATTATTATTAGGAGTACTTAATTAATAAACGGAGCAAAAAGTCTCGACATTGGTCAATGAGTTGTTGACCACTTCCAAATTAAATGCACGTAGAGGCTATATATAGATTTATATCCACTTGAGGCCTAGGGTTAGCTAGCGCTAACACAGTGCCATGCAAGTAGAGCATTTCCCTGTCTAAGTTTCTTTGATCCTCTTTTTGGTTTTTAATCTTAAAAAAAGGATGACATCTCATCTCTGAAGTTCCCGGACTTGTTGTGTTTGTTATGTTGTTAGTGGATGTACACTGGAGCAATGGTGGGTTGATCATTAGGGCGATGTAAATTTTCCTAAATTTTTTAGTATCATTTTTCTTATTTTGCCCATCGTAATTTTATCACTCCGTATCATTCTACTGCTACGTATAGTACTCAGGTAATTTTTCATGCCATCCTAATTTGAATTAGTCCTCTAATTTTTTCAATTTGTAACTGACGTTATGTAATTTGGATGCAAGAAATGTTTTTAAGTAACTTTTAATATTTAATTATTGAAATGTCATTTAAGAATGCAAATAGAAGACTTTTCTGCAAAAAATGGGAAACATTACTTGTGATAACAAAATATTTAGGAGTAATTGAAAACTCATTCCTTTTAACATCACATTAAGTACGTGCAACTTAACAATCATTCGAGAATGTAGGACTATGTGGATGTAGTCTAAATAGTCTTTAGTAATTATTAGTGACTATTTATGATTTGATCTTCGCATCGATAAAAGTTTAACGCAAAGTACATTTTTGTAGGGGTCATCGGTGTTGAGAAAAGCATGAGTATGATACAGAATCACGAGTTCATGGGATTCTTAGATTTCTGTAGCAGCCAATGAAATCAAAGAATGGGAGGACATTATTATTAGGAGTACTTAATTAATAAACGGAGCAAAAAGTCTCGACATTGGTCAATGAGTTGTTGACCACTTCCAAATTAAATGCACGTAGAGGCTATATATAGATTTATATCCACTTGAGACCTAGGGTTAGCTAGCGCTAACACAGTGCCATGCAAGTAGAGCATTTCCCTGTCTAAGTTTCTTTGATCCTCTTTTTGGTTTTTAATCTTAAAAAAAGGATGACATCTCATCTCTGAAGTTCCCGAACTTGTTGTGTTTGTTATGTTGTTAGTGGATGTACACTGGAGCAATGGTGGGTTGATCATTAGGGCGATGTAAATTTTCCTAAATTCTTTAGTATCATTTTTCTTATTTTGCCCATCGTAATTTTATTACTCCGTATCATTCTACTGCTACGTATAGTACTCAGGTAATTTTTCATGCCATCCTAATTTGAATTAGTCCTCTAATTTTTTCAATTTGTAACTGACGTTATGTAATTTGGATGCAAGAAATGTTTTTAAGTAACTTTTAATATTTAATTATTGAAATGTCATTTAAGAATGCAAATAGAAGACTTTTCTGCAAAAAATGGGAAACATTACTTGTGATAACAAAATATTTAGGAGTAATTGAAAACTCATTCCTTTTAACATCATTCGAGAATGTAGGACTATGTGGATGTAGTCTAAATAGTTTTTAGTAATTATTAGTGACTATTTATGATTTGATCTTCGCATCGATAAAAGTTTAACGCAAAGTACATTTTTGTAGGGGTCATCGGTGTTGAGAAAAGCATGAGTATGATACAGAATCACGAGTTCATGGGATTCTTAGATTTCTGTAGCAGCCAATGAAATCAAAGAATGGGAGGACATTATTATTAGGAGTACTTAATTAATAAACGGAGCAAAAAGTCTCGACATTGGTCAATGAGTTGTTGACCACTTCCAAATTAAATGCACGTAGAGGCTATATATAGATTTATATCCACTTGAGGCCTAGGGTTAGCTAGCGCTAACACAGTGCCATGCAAGTAGAGCATTTCCCTGTCTAAGTTTCTTTGATCCTCTTTTTGGTTTTTAATCTTAAAAAAAAGGATGACATCTCATCTCTGAAGTTCCCGGACTTGTTGTGTTTGTTATGTTGTTATGTTACATCTCATCATTAGGGCGATGTAAATTTTCCTAAATTTTTTTAGTATCATTTTTCTTATTTTGCCCATCGTAATTTTATTACTCCGTATCATTCTACTCTACGTATAATACTCGGGTAATTTTTCATGCCATCCTAATTTGAACTAGTCCTCTAATTTTTTCAATTTGTAACTGACTTTATGTAATTTGGATGCAAGAAATGTTTTTAAGTAATTACTACAATTTAAAATATTTCTTTTTAAAAATAGAACCAAAAGCTTAATTAATGAGACCCAAGTCTTCACTCAGAATTTTCTCTCTAAAACATTGTTGATACAAACATAAAATTCATTATATACGCCAAGTAATGTTGGTGCTAAATGGTGGTCAGCCAGACTCGATGGCATGGCTCCATAAGTTCAACAGAAGCCTTCAAAATCCGAATTTGCATCCATATATAGACCAAGCATGCTGACTCTTGAGACTTTAATCTTCCAAATAATCGAAATTCACATACATGCATGGAATTGCATTGCCATCAATAGACTAGTTTGATACCATATTTTCCAAACTGAATAATTCGAAACTGAAAATTGGTTATTACGGGAATTAGGAAAAACTAAAAAAACAATGAGGTAAAAATATATAATTATAAAACAATGTTAAAACTATACATAGTCGAAAGTAATACGGAGTAAGAAATAAAACTGTAAGATCTTTCCAACGAGATATTAAACGCTTTCAACTCAACAAAATAGAGCAAGATATGATCCCATCAAATTCTACACGACTTTGAAGTGAAATCAGAAACATTTGTGAATTTATGTTTAATCTGTAACTTTTAATTAATGCATTGTAAATGAAGTTGGAACAATAGCTTTAGAGCTCCAAATTATCTTTCCAACGAGATATAATACGCTCAAAACGAAGAACACGCAGCAAGATATGAGTGTCACAAATACTTAGTCTTATATCTATGATTTAGCGTTTTCAGCGTAAATAGAGCACTTTTAGCGTAAATACAGTGTATTTTAGTAATTAGGCAATCATCCCGTGATATTTTGAAACCAGCGCCTGAAGACAAGTTTTAGAACTTGGTAAAATCTTTCCAACGAGATATTAAACGTTTTCAACTCAACAAAATAGAGTTGTTAACGCTCACTTATTGTCATTTAATTTCTTGTAGTTAACGCTTCAAAGTTATTCCTTTTCTTGCCATATATCTCGTGGTTCGATAACAATACTACTCCCTCCGTCCCAATTTGATTTGCAAAATTTCTTTTTTTGGTTGTCCCAAAATGGTTTTCTACTTTCTATTTTAGGTATGTAAATAAGAATAAAGTGACAAATTTACCCTTAGTTTTACTTTCCCCCCATTAACTTAAAGACATCTACTTTTAGAAAGATGGGTAAAAGTGTAAAAAACAAGCATCATTTATAGTCATTTCTTAATGAGAAAAGGGTCAAATAAGGCATTCCACTATTACGAAATAGTCACATAAGGCCATGTACTCAATAAAGTGGCATATAAGTACCTCTACTTGTATAAAGCAATCCAATGAGTCCTAACGGCTTATTTAACCTCCTAATTCCGATTTTAGTTTACATGTCGATTTTTTTGACTTGTATTTCAACCAATCTTAGTTAAATATTCGACATATGTCGTGTAATGTATTCAAAAAAGATGGTCAGAAGTACGTTGAAATCGGGATTAAGAGGTGTTAAATAGGTCATTATGACTCATTTGATTGCTTTTTAGAAGTAGATGTACTTATATGACACTTTATTGAGTACATGGCCTTATGTGACTATTTCATAATAGTAGAAGACCTTATTTGACCCTTTTCTCTTTCTTAATCCTTGTGCCGGTCAAAGTTTGCAATTCAATTCGGGACGGAGGGAGTATGATACAATCATGGAGCACGTCATATGGTCAAAACTCATGATGATGGCGCATTTAACATAGAAAAAATATTATAATATGTTAGCGAACACAACAACAGAAAATGAGGCCTTTTTTATAGATATTACTAAATAACACGATGAAGACAAAAAAGTGACCGGATCCTCAAAATTCCAAAAAAATGACTAACGTGTTGGGCACGTGCGTTAAATCAGCAAACATACCATTTCCGGATGAAGTCAACCAATGGTTTTATGCAAAAAAATCGGCCGCATTAATACCATTGTCAAATGTGTAACTGAAAGCCAAAAATGAGGGAAATTTACGTTAGTGAACATCATCGGCCATTTCCATAATTCATTTTGATCCAGTTCCACATTACGTTCCAGACGATTGAAGAACAGAGGGGTACTGGCGAGAAGATACACGTTGAAGTCATTGATTCCCTAATCTCAGGTGTGAACTGGTAAAGTATGTTTTGATTCAGTTTTATTTTTAGTATTAATAGTGACGACCATTAGCTGCATTGAAAAATTGTATATTGTTTAGATGCATCGTGGTAATTTGTGTAGTGTATGGACGGGCTACAGTATGGCATGTCAACAAAGCCCAGTACATTTGACATGCATGGTCAATTGAAGTAGTCACTAAGAAGGTGATTGATGAACATGTGTGAAATTTAGTAGTCATTGTGTTGACGTGTGTGTTTGGGAAGAGGTCACTATGATGGTGGTAGTAGTTACTGTGGGGTTTCATGCATGTTCACTTTTACTGAAGTACGTTTGTTAGTGATTGCGTTATTGTTTGACATTGAATTTGGGCATGTTTGTTGTGGTCATTGTGATGTATGGTTGTGTAGTCGTATGGGTCAGTAACCGTTTCCTGTAACTTGGCAATATGTGGTCACTGGCAACAGTATGGCATGTGTCAACAAAGCCCAGTACGTTTGACATGCATGGTCAATTGTAGTAGTCACCGAGTAGGTGACTGACTAACATATGGGATATTGGGTACTCACTGTATTGACGTATGCGTTTGGGAAGAGGTCACTATGAGGTTGGTAGTAGTTACTGTGGGGTTTCATGCATCTTCACTTTGACTGAAGTATGTTTGTTAGTGATTGGGCATGTTTGTTGTAGTCATAGTGATTTATGTTTGTGCAGTCGTATGGGTCAGTAACCGTTTCCTGTAGCTCGGGAATATGTGGTCACTTGATGTCTTGAGCGTAGTCACCTTTTTTGATTTATGCATGATGTGTGTGATTGCGTTGATGTTCCTTAGTGACTGTTGTATTAGTGACTTACGTGTTCAACAATGTTTTGGGGTTGAGTCATTATGTGGTGTGTGCATAGTCAGAATGGTACACGTGACAGTGACAATGTTAATGTATTGATCAATGGCAGAGTCACTACTTTTGAACTCTGTTTGGTAGTGAATGGTTAATTGCAACGCAATGTTTATATTTATAAAAAATTAATTGTTAAAAAATTTTAAAATCACATGAACGGAACACATTATGGTGACAGTTTTGTGTGATGGTAGATGGACTTCAGATAATAAATTCATGGCAAAGGCTTCACACAGAATGGTAGTTGCAAGTGATGCATCATACAATGACTTGTTGTGTGAGGTGCGCTCCTTAATCGGGATTTCTGAGTCCGTGGAAATAATCTGCATAACGTATTAGATTGATAAAGCATTTCCCCCCACTAAAGTGGATAGTGACCAGAGTTTGAGGTTTTATTTGAATATAAAGTGCACAGATAAATTTGATTTGAGTGCATATCCCTTGTTAGTCCAAACGAGGAAGGAAAGACGTGGTGTGGAGACAGTTTTGGATTCCCAAGCGGAAGAAACAAACAGGGAAATGCTTAGTGAATTTGATTTGAATGGTCAAGGTAAGGAGCTATATACTTCAATAGAATTAGAAGTTGGAGAAGGAAGATGTATCAGTGACTGAATACACGTCGATTCAAATGAAGGCAATGGATCATTGCTTTCATGGGTTGCAGATGGTGGTGAAATAAATGTAGATGGAATGGACAATACGTTAAGATCGAACGAGATTTATCCAACAAAGGAACATTTGAAGGAAACTATGCAGTTGTATGCACTGTACAGCAAGTTTCAGCTCCAAACGAGGACATCAACTCAAGGAGTATTGCATGTTGTATGCGTTGACAAGTCATGTAAGTGGGCTGTACGAGGCGTGCGAATATCAGATAGTCAATGTTTTGAAGTGCGCAGGTATGTTCCTGTTACTATGTTTTGCATAAGATTAAGTAGTTATTGTAACTTAGCATTTATAGTTGTTTTAAAACTTAATGACTTCAGGTTTGATTCAGTGCATAGCTGCTCAATTGACTGTCGAATGAGCGGTAACAGGCGAGTTAGCGCGACAATAATAGGGAAGTTGATTAAGCACCAGTACATGGATGCTTCGAGAAAGCCATATCATCCAAAATCAATTATTTCAGACTTAAATAGAGCATTTGGCTTAAATTTGAGCTATAAGAAAGCATGGAGGGGCAAAGAGAAAGCACTTCTATCACTAACATGCACCGATAACGAGTCATATAAGAAGTTGCCTATTCTTTGTTGTTTGATGGACAAGACAAATCCAAGACCACTGATTTATTTAGATACTGATGAAAATGGTCACTTTAAAAGAATGTTCATGTCACTGGGTGCGTGTAAAGAAGGTTGGCCAACGTGTAGGCCAGTAATGAGTGTGGATGGTGCACTCCTAAAAGCTAAATTTCGTGGGACTGTACTGTCTGCTTGTGCAATGGATGCTAATAGGCAAATATTCCCACTTGCATTTGGATTTTGCGATAGTGAAAACAAGGAAACATGGTCATGGTTTTTTACGAAATTGAGAGAGGCCATAGGTGAGAGAGAGGATATGTGCATCGTGTCTGATAGAAATGAAGGACTCATAAAAGGTGAGAAGGAAATATATCCAGGAGTAGATCATGGGCATTGTGTTCAACATATACTTGGAAACATTATTTCCAAGTTTGGTGGGGGAAAAGACCGGGTGACTAGGTTCTTTAATGCAGCGGCCAGAGCTGCAACAGACCGGAAGATGGAGTATTTTATGAGATTACTTGATGGTGAAGATAATAGGATACGACATTACCTGGCAGAAATTGGACTTGAGAAGTGGGCGCATTGCAAGATTAAAAGACGGAGGTACTCCATAGTGACGTCGAAAATGTAGAGACATTAAATTCAGTGGATGGAATTGCGAGAGAGTCCTCCATAGCCATGTTGGTTGAATTTCTTATTACCAAGCTGCAAGTTTGGTTCCATGATAGAAGTAAAGCAGCGCGAGAACACAAGGGAAAGTTGTTTGCAGCGGTGGAAGAAGTGCTAGGAAATTTGTTAAGTGACTCAGCGGGAATGATAGTGAGTGTGTTAATTAGTATTAGTTTTTTAATTCATAAGCATATTTTTTGTGTTTTTGTTTTCTAATTCTTTTTACTTGTTTGGCGACTGACCATGTAGAGATGACGTAGATGAGGATGGATGGAAATGTATGTGGAGATAACTTATTTGTTATTTAAATTATTTCAGGTTAGGCCGAGCACAACGTTTACGTTTGAGGTTATTGACAAAAACTGCCGAGCATATGTGGTAAATCTAGAGACGCGGAGTTGTAGTTGCAAGGACTTTGAATTGGAAGACTTTGTGTGTGTCCATGCAGTAGCCGCAAAATATTACAGCACTAGTGCATGGGTGGAAGCACATAGTGGAGCAATACATCCATTTGGTTCAATCTCGCATTACGATGTTCCAGCGGAAATTCGAAACTTCATTGTGAAGCCACCGATCTCAGACAAGCGACCTGCTGGTAGGCCAAAAAAGAAAAGAATCCCTTCCATTGGTGAGTTTTCCAAAAAACAAAAATGTGGAAGATGTAGACATATGGGCACAACCAGAAGACTTGCAACAATACGATCCCGAGACAAATGGTATAAGATGTTTAGGACCACGTGTGTTGGGTATTTTGTAAAAGCCAACAGTTATTTTTAGCAGTAACTATGTTTGGAGACAATTAGTGAATACTTGTTTTTTTTTAGAATAAAGGCGCTTATATGAAGCGCATGCGAAATGAATTGCAGTGACAATGTAATTTAATAAATGACAAGTTTGGTTGAGGTGAATGTGTGTGGTGAGTAATTGTAACACCCTACCCGAACCGGTTCCGCGGATCCGAGCTGTGTGTCACGTGATAGAACTCAAAGCAGATTTGACCAAAAGACTTTTAATTATGTAAACAAAATTAAGTATTAAATAAAACATATTTATTAAAATGTCAATTTATTATTCAAAACCTGAAAATATCAAGTCGTCATAAATCACTTGATATTATACAACACCAAATATTTTAACATATGCAGAAGCGCTTAAAAACGAAAATGATCAGATAAGATTAAAGTTAAACTTGCTTCATGTTTATTTATTTTCAACAATACACACATGGTATGCACATAAATTCCTACGCCTTCGTCCATCCTAGTATCGTTATCCTAGCTGAGTCCACGTCAACCTACTGGTAGGAAAAACAAACAACTACCCGCTCAGCAATGTGCTGAGTGGTACGGTACAAATAATAATACCAAAAATAATAACATTAATAATAATAATAATAATTACTTATCGAATTAAATCACATAGCAATATAATATAATTAACATGTAGTCAACAGACATATAACATACCTGAGTGAACCAGATAACTGTTATAAGAATCAAGATATTCATATGCAGATTAAAAACATATTCAGATATCATAATTATCAAATCATTCTTATTCGGATGTATATTCTTAATAAATTCATTTCAGCCTTGTACTCAAGAAAGTGGATCTAGACAGAGGAATACTAACGGTAAGGAATACGGTCACAAAGTCCATACCCACATTATCCAGGAAGGATGTGGAAACGTAATCGCCGGAGCTACATGTACCAATCCCTAACAGAAGAGTAATAGTGCTCTAAAAAGATTTTAGGAGTGTACATAGTACACTAAACAGGAGAACACCATTTCCTCTAAACAGAATTTCAAGAGTGTACATAGTACATTAAACAGACATATCAGGAGTATTCATGTCAGAGTGCCTGGATCAATAGCAAGACATTTGAAAAACATTTCTTTTTAGTTTATTTACAAATAAACAATTGAGTTTAATACATCTTAAAATTTAGGGCATTTTCAGGACTTATAAATCAATCATAAACTAGAAAGTTTTCTTGAAATTACTAATTAACCCCTCTTCTATTTTTGTATTTATAAACGATTAAGAATTTTACATTTATTTGATAAAATACTCCGAGTATGACTTAATAAAATATGTCCAACGTAAACACTATTTAAATCACTACTAAACTTATATGTTCATTCAATAAATATTCTTACGTAAGTAGTAACATATAAACAAGGGAGAACTATCAAATAAACCCTTGAACTTTCATAAAAAGTGCAAATAAGCCCTTTTATAGGAGGCTTTGTCCGACCGTCGTCATTTAGGGCGGTTTTCGGTGGAATTTTTTGATGAAATTGTTTGAGCATCTTCTTCATTAAATATAGTTTATCCATACCACATTTCAGCTAAAAATTCAACCAAGAAGGCAGTCAAATGATTTTCTGAAATTTACTACGCTTTCTAATTACACAGTTACCTTCAAAAATTTATTTGACTGCCTTCCCGATTGAATTTTTAGCTGAAATTTGGTATGAGTAAACTAGACTTAATGAAAAAGATGATAAAAAAATTTCATCAAAGAATTGCACCGGAAACCGCCCAAATGGCGACGGCCAGACAAAGCCTCCTATAAAAGGGCTTATTTGCATTTTTTATGAAAGTTCGAGGGCTTATTTGATAGTTCTCCCTATAAACAAAATATACATGATTGAATATTATATTAATTTTGGACTAAAATCCTATGGACACATTTTATGTACTTACGTAATATGTAGAACCTTAGCTAAATTAGTTTGTGTGTGTGAATATAAACATCACACTTGTTAATTAATAAACAACACACGTATGCATACATATATTTAAGAATGTTGATTGCTCATATTCTTTATATAATTACTGAATTCATACGTGATCTAGAATATATATATATATATATATATATATATATATATATATATATATATTAATGAACTACAAACTTATATTACTTATTTTAATATTAATGTAGGTATACTTTCTAAATAATAATTTAAACTAATCATACGTGCACTTATATATACTACCATTAACTAAAGATACAATTTTTTTATTTATTTACTAGCGGAGTACGCACTACGTGCGAATGGTGCCCAACATTTGCATATACTCTCACGAAATTGTTGTGCTAATTTTCATTTGAAATTTTATTCAACTAAGGCTATCTTTGGCATGCTTCATTCAGCATATAATGGGCTCAAATTTCTGAAATTCTGTCAATAATCACATAAGTAGCTTTGTTTGAATAACATGATAAACTGAGCTGAAGTAAAATAAATGGGTTGAATGAGAACGTTTGAGGAACCAACGTTTCAATTCAGCCGCTTGGTAAGGAAGTTTTGATGAAAAAAATCCTTGCAGCAGGCAGCAGCTCCTTGATTCTTCTCCTGCAACTCCTGTGAAGTTTATAAATTTTATGCTTTTATTATTATACTTTCATTAAATAACAATTTTGTATCATTTTCATGATATAATACTTTCGTAGATAAACATATTACAAAAATATGAAATTCAGTGATGTTTACTCTAATCTTCATTACCTGGGCAAAGCAAACTACCATAACAATATTTATTAAAATATAAAATTGAGTATAATATTTTTTTCTTATTAAATACTACTTCCATCCCTAAATAGAAGTCCATGTTTCTTTCTTCAGTCGTCCCTAAATAAAAGTCGCATTTCCTGTTTGACAAACGAAATAATGAAAAACAGTGTCAAAAAATGTCCAAATAGTGCCAAACATTGTCAAATAATCTCACTTTCTTAAATTGTGTAAAATGAATAGGAGCTTTTATATAGGGATGGAGAGAGTAGTTATATGCCCTGCATTGTAACCTTGTGTTTTCCAAACACTCTTCTTTCTGTTTTTACAAAATGGGTCTACTTCATTCAACTATAAGTTCAGATTCAACATTTTAAAGTTCAATTCCATATGATAGCTTCCAATCA